CTCAAACTCTTGGGCTTAAGCAATTCTCTTGCCTCAGCTTCCCAAGTAGCTGGGACTACAGGCACCTGCCACAACACCCAGCAATTTTTAGTGACAAGGTCTCACTGTGGCTCAGGCTTATCTTGGACCTGTAAACTCAGGCAATTCACCTGCCTTGGCCTCCCAGACTGCTAGGATTACAGGTTTGAGCCACTACAATGCCTGAAGGCATAGTACTCTTGTACTTGGGGGCCATTATTGTGTAAAATAAGGGTTCCCTGAACACAAGCACTTCAATATCCCAATAGTCGGTCCTATAACTAAGATGGCTGTATGTGACTAGTGGTCACTGGCAGTGTGGATGATCCATGTATCAGGTTGGACAGTGTAGGATGTTGTGAGGTTTTATCATGCTACTCTAACTGGCATACAATTTGAAATTTCTGAATTGTTTATTTCTGAAATTTTCCATTTAATATTTTCAGTCTGTGGTTGACTGAGGGTAAGGAGGGACTACTATAGAGGAAATAGTGTAAGCAAAAGAAGTGGGTATGATTATTGCAGCTCAATTTATAACTGCCAAGATGTGGAAACAAGCCAAGTGCCCATCAACCCATGATACAGATTAGAAAACTGTGGCATGTGTATACCATGGTATTATTCAGCTGTTAAAAAAGAATGAGGACTTTACATTTTTTTGTATTAACCTGGATGGGGTTGAAACCCATTCTTCTTAGTAAAGTATCACAAGAATGGCAAAGCAAATATCCAGTGTATGCAATACTAATATGAAGCCAGTAGAGAAATTAATATACTCCCACGCAAGAGAAAAACTCAATTCAGTTCAAGTTGGATGGAGGGAGGGATAGTGATTGGTATGCTCCCACCTAATGGGCACAATGTAAGGGTATATGGCACAACTCCTGGGTGCAGGACAAGGACTTTACCTAGTAAATACAAATATTGTAATCTAATGGTTTCTAAGCTCATATTAATCTGAAATTAACACACAAAAAAAGTGGGTATGAAAGTACAGGGCAGCCTCTGGGCCTCAACATGAGCTCAGAAGGTATATAACAAAGAAAACTGGGGCGGGGCACGGTGGCTCACACCTATAATCCTAGCACTCTGGGAGGCCGAGGCAGTGGATCACCTGAACTCACACATTCAAGACCAGCCTGAGCCAGAGCAAGACCTTGTCTCTAAAAATAGCCAGGTGTTGTGGCAGGTGCCTGTAGTCCCAGCTACTTGGGAGTCTGAAGCAGGAGAATTGCTTGCTTAAGACCAAGACTTTGAGGTTGCTGTGAGCTGTGACATCACAACACTCTATCTAGGGTGACATAGTGAGACTCTGTCTCAAAAAAAAAAAAAGACCAGCCTCAGCAAACATGAGACTCCTCTACTAAAAGTAGAAAAACTGGCTCGGCGCCTGTGCCTCAAGTGGCTAAGGCGCCAGCCACATACACCTAAGGTGGCGGGTTTGAATTTAGCCCGGGCCTGCCAAACAACAATGATGGCTGTGACCAAAAT